GTTTCAGAATAAGAGGGAAGAAGCTACAGTAGTAAGGAAAACACAAACAGAATGATTTACCATCAGACCAAGAGAGCAGCAAGCATCTGTTCAAATACCATACAGGTGTACTGTCACATGGCAAAACCAATCTCTGTTTTCCCAGCCACTAGTGCTTTTTTTCTCCTTTTCCCTGGTGTGTAGTGACATTGGATTCCTATTATGTTCCAAAAAGTTCTCCACAGGTAAGTCAGAACATTAAAAATAATTTTTAAGAATCTGCAAAATAGAGTATTTAATTTTTTTAAATCAAAAAACCAACAGTCTGTAAGGGCCCCTTGAGACTAAGAACTTGCACTGTTCTGAAAGTTCTTACCTGTCCTCAACTCTGAATGAGCTCCGTCATTGGCTTTAGTGGTTATATGTATAATTAAGCATGGTTAATATCTCTGATCTGGTGCTACTAAAACACAAGAGATAACAGCTGCTCTCAATCAGACCAGGCCAATACTTAGGCAAGTGATTTGCATGAAATGGCATTCGATTCACAGCCACCTACTTCAAGCTGCCCATCTATGCAACCCAGATTAAATATAAATGGCCAAATTACCTCTAATGTCATTATACAGAAGTTAATCAGCAGCAGGGGTGGATTTGGCTCTGTATCTTTTAATCTTGTGATTCTGTATGCTTAACAACATTCCTACAGTGAAAAGCTGACATTCCGTCTCTTCATTTTTCACCTCCTTTTATATCCCTGGCTGCTTCCCCTGTACCCTAGATGACAAACACATCAAAAAGTCTCTATCTTTTGAATCAAAATAACAGCAGTAAAATAGCAGCAGAGCTTAATGGAAAGCATTAACTAGGTAAGGCTTACTTGTGGTTACAATGTAGGCCAGAGGATTCAGAAATAACTGTAAAGGTTTACACTATACCAGCTAGTTCTTCTCAAGCATATCACAGTGGTAACTGCATCTCAATGCACAATTACCTTGCTGTGCTAATTGGGTAAAATTTAAAGACAGTATAATACATGAAGTCTTTTTCACTCCTATTTGTTTGTACATGTCAAAGTTCAGCTGATCTTCCAGTTTACTATTCTGGACTTCTTCTATCTGTTCCTATTTATCAAAGATTAGCTTATTTGCCAGTTGGATGTTAAGCAAACTTACTGTCAGCATGTTGCTGCAACAAATCTACAGTTTTCAATGTGCACAGCAAGAACTGACCTTAAATACTACTGGTACCACCACCTTTCACTATATTTCAGTTTTTAAAAAACTGTTTGCCAAATCAAGTGTTTCGAAGCAATTAGAAATAGATAACAAGCATCTTGCAATAGGTTGCAGATAAAGTTTTGTAAGGAGGACAATATATCTAGCATAGTCTTGCCTTGTCACGGCCCATTGTACCAGAGATGATGGTTAAATAGCCCCTGCTTATTCGCTTTAGAAGTTTAAATCCCAGAGCAGGAAATACACTGTTACTCACTCACCCCAGAGTAGTATGGGACAGCAAGACGGCTGTCAGCTGCAATGGCCTCGGCTGGCCACAGCTGCAGGATTTTTTTGCCACAGCCACAGCACAGGCAGTGGGACACACCAAGCTGGCAGCTCCACACAGCCTTTGGTGCAAGTTTCTCTGCTCTGAAGTGTGGCAAGCCCTGGTTGTCACAGCTGGTGATTGATCTGATTGATGAGGAGAGGTGTAAGTTCAACGGCCTCCAACAGACAGGTCCGAGTACCTTAAGCTGCATCTGTAAATTATGCAGTGAGAATGTGAAGGTCGTCTAAGTATAAAGTCTAACCCCACACCAAAGGAGGCTCAAGCTACTCTGAACAGACCACTTCACCACAAAAGGATCCACACGGAGTTTTAACAATCAAGTTGCGTATCTGCTGCTTTCACGTATTGCTTTGCTACAGTTTTTAGGAGGGGAGAAAGGAACCTAAGAAATTTCACGCCCATTACACCAGGTGTTCCAACAACTTCCCTCTCACACAGATGTCTCCTTGCAGAATAACTGTTCATACAGAGTTACTCTGTTAGCAAAAAGAACAGTTTTGATTCAGAGGAGCTGCCTGTACATTTATTCTGTTGTTACCTTGCACAAGTCCTTAGGGCCCACTGCTACTGCAGGTGGGAGTAACTGTGATCACTGCATGCAATGGGGGAAGTTCTATCCTCCACTGATGCTGTAAAAATCTCTCCTGAATTTTGGGGATTTGTTTTATTTACTGGAAAGCTATTCCAAATTCTATTTGCATAAAATTAAGAAAAAGTAATAACATTCATCTTACACAGCTGCTGTGGAGCTAAAAAAGGAGTTCCTTAAAGATGCTACAGAGCTACAAAACAATACAATTGTACAAACTACAAATAAAAAATGAACTGTAAATACAGTTATGAAAACATAAAATATGTGAAAAATTACAGTTTTTGCTACTGCAACGGGTCAAAAAGTTGCCTTTCCAACACATGGTGGATGGGAGGATGCTCAGACCCCACTAAATTTGTCTGGAAGTGATATCCTGTGAGAGAAGGCTTCATGGGCTTGAGCTCTGTCTGAGGAATGAATAAACAGCTTGAGAGACAGGCAAGACTCATGTCTCTCAAACCAGGGAAAGCTGCCGACTTCACTGACTTCACTGTGAGGAGCAGGAACTTTCTAGGGAGTTATAATGCTAAAGAAAATAAACAGAAAGGAAAACCGTGTGTGAAAATGTGTTGGCTTTATGATCTTTTCTATCTAGCTTAAAAATACACTATGTTAGAAAAGGGAGGTTTCTGAGTGCATTTTGTTAAGCCTAGTTTATTCATAATAAAGAGAAATTACCTTTTTTTTTTTTTTTAAGTGTTTTACACAAGACAATGTCTTGCCTCAGGGACAAAATAAAAGTAATGGTTGCCTTAGCAGGCTAAATGTAATATAATGAATTTCCCCATAGGGAGTGACAATACAGCGATCACTAGGGGAAAGACAGTATTGTTGTCTCCTCACAGGCATTATTTTCTTAAGCAAAATAACTATTCATGAGTTTATTATTGTCTTGTGCAGCCCTTCCCAGAACAGATCCAAACCAGCCACTGTTAACGCCTTATTACTGTAGCATTATTATGGTAACACCACAAGACATAGGCAAACGGGTGTTGAAAAATGCGTAAAGGAATTCTCCACAATATCTCCCCTTCCCCCAATTTTCAATCCAAGTTCAACCTAACAATGTAGATGCAGATACAGTCACAAACACAAGAAAGCAACATGAATAGATCTGTTCGCTATGTATATACTGAGTTGCCAATAGTGAGCTAAGTAACTGGAAAGGCCGCTAATAATCTGCTAACTCTATCACCAAAAACTGCTACGAAATTAGTCTGCGACAAACCTCAAATTTTAATGTTCCCAAGCGTAAGAAAGGTAGAAGATTTTAAAAGCGGCCATTCCCAGAGGTACGAGCTCAAACTGCCTTAGCTCGAGCTCGGTGCTTTACTCTCCAGCACGCCCCGGCTCTCCCGCCGTCCGCAGCGCGAGCGCCCAGCCCGCGAGGCCTGGGCGGGCCGGGCACGGCCCCTCACGGCCCCTCACGCCGCCACCGCTCCTCCAGCGGGCACAGCAGCAGCTTTTAAAAATAACGAGACAAGTACCTCAGAAATGAGGGCAAAAAGAAGCCTCAAATTGTCCCGATTTCAACAGCTTTAACACTTTAAAGTACATGGGCTTAGTAGGCTTCTGAACAATCTGGCGTCTTTCTCAACAACTATTTTTTTTCCCCAAAAACGACCCGCACCCGTCCGCCTCGGCGCCTCCCGCACCGGGAGTGGGAGCTCCCCGGCAGCATCTCCACCGGGCAGCAGGATAAGGGTCAGAGAAGGAGGCTCGGACCGCCTCAAGCAGCGGCGGGCAGGAGCTGAAGGGACGGGGAGGAGGCTCGGACCGCCTCAGGCACCGGCGGGCGGGAGCTGAGGGGGCGCGGGCGCTGCCGCAGCGGCGCTCCCGGGGCGGAGCTTCGCGGGGCGGGGCGGGGCCGCCGCTCCCCGCGCGCCGGTTCCGGTTTAGCGGCGGGCGCGGAGCTCTCGGGCCTTGGCAGCCGCGGTGCCCTGGCGCGTCATGGCCGCGACCGCATGGATGCCCACGGTAGGCAGGAGGGCGGGCAGGACCCTGCTCCACGGCGCCCGGCACGCGCCCCGGAGCTTGGTGGCGCCTGAGGCGCGGCTGCCCGGCCGCAAGGTCGCGGTGCCGCCGGGCCCTGGCAGCGCTCCGAGGGGGAATGGCCGCGGGGCTCGGGCCGAATGGCGGCCCCGCGGCGCTCTCGGGTTCTCTCCTTCCTCCTCTCCCCTCCCCGGGCCGGCGGCGGGAAGGGGCCGTGGGGCCGTTATTCGAGCGGGCCGGGCCGGGCCGGGGGGGCGTCGCGCCATCCCTCGGAGCGGCCTGCGGAGAGGTCGCGCCGTAGAGGTCACAGCAGCGGCGGGACCACCGCGGCTGCGGGCAGCTCCCGGTGCGCGCGGGCAGACAGCACGGCCTGGGAACGCCGTTCGCGCGAGGAGCCCACGGTACCGGGCGCTGCGGAGCCGGCTGGGGAGAACTGTTACCGGCCTCTGGCTGACAACTCTCTGGCCCCTGCACCTGTCCTCTGGGATTTACAGCTCTGAACCGTTCTGAAACGCAGGCCTTATCCCGGGGCTGTCACGGAAATACGGTCTTTTGCCTTGAGTAAATGAAATTTACTTTGTACCTTTAAATAACAGCCTGCTTGAGGCAAAGTCATTGAGGCAGCCCCATTTAACCTATCTGCTAAAGTAAGGAAGAACTGTCAAGAGCTAATCATGACACGTGACTTTAAGGTCAGAATGGATCAGTTTTCCTTGGGTGGATTCTTTGTTGGTGTTACCAACATTTAACTTCAGTATAATGTACTAGGCCCATGATTTCTGACAAGACAGACTGTGCCCTTTCCAGGGCTACTCTGGAATTTAAATCCTGATTCTATATGCAGGAACTGTACCATGAGAACACTTACCCTGTACAGTCAACTTCACATTTTCATTTGATTGCTCTGCCTTCATCCTCAACCATAGGGCCTGCTTTGGTAAATACTGCTTGCCTGTTGCAGTGACCTTGTACATCTCATGTGGGGCTACAAGTAAAAATAGATCTAGCTTAGATTACTTCTCCCCCAGCATTCATTACAATATGAAAATTTTATTATATTATCATTAAAGTATGAGAATTATATTATTTCTAGTTGTTTCTCTTGGTGTCAACATAGTTTGTTCCTTTTGCCACACACCATTCTGTCAGTAAAGAAATAACAAATGCAAGTGGGACAGGAGAGGAATACAAATTGTCAAAGTAATTTCTAACCTGATAGCTGCAGACAGCCTGCATATGTGAGTATGGCAGAATTGAAGTAATGTAAGCAGTTAGAAGTTTTCTGGCTCTTACATCCCAGAAGCATCAGTAGTCCTAGAGAGGAGGTTAAGATTGGGAGGCTGTGATTTTTCTGCAGAGTAGGGATTTTGTCCATGGTGCTCAGCTGGGTATGAGCCCAAGCTTAGATACCATCCCAGTTTTAAAGCTTAATGCCAGTTCAGAATACTCAGAAAATGTAATTCTTTGACTGTGATGTGTAGACTTGTTGCTGTGGTGAATTTTGACTTCAATGTGCATTTCAGTTTAATGAAATTGAACTTTTTTTTTAAAAACCGTCAGAATTTTTACTGGCATGCAGAAGGCATGTACAACACAGTACATGTATAGTACAACAGTACAACACCTACAAGTATAAAAGGTAGAAGAACAAAATTCACCACAGTTTGAATGGAAGAAGTGACACTAATGTAAAGTAGTTTTGGAAACATCACTAAAATGTGTAGATACTGTCCACCCAGCTGCTGCCAATGAAGTGTTTGATTTTTCACTTTGCTTTCTGCATGTCTTCATCCTTAGCACATGATGTATTTAGTTAGAGTTCCCACAGCCTTGCTTCCAGCATGATGTGTGTGAGGACTCCAGGTGGGGTCAGGGGCTCCCAGGCAGGACAGGAGCGTGGGGCAAAGCGCGGCTGTCCCGGGCTCACCTTGTGCTAAGAATACCCACAAGGCGTTGCTGCTCTCAGTGTTCCACTGCAACTTGGCAAAGCACTGGCTACTCTGGTTTCACATGGATTTTCATACTAGTTTGAGATAGTAGATTTAAAGCAGTATGACTTTAAAAAGAAGATTTGCTGCGATATTGTTAAACTTGTAAAATCCCGTTTGTGCAGTAAAAGAGCGTCTTTTTGTTTTGGATTTTTGCAGGTTTCTCGATTTCTAGGTGCTTTCAAAAGCCAAAAAAAGGTGACCAGAAGTTTTGGTAATGCTGTGAGTATAATAGTCCCATTTTTTTTCTTTTAAGAAGTTTCTCAATAAGCAGGTTTGGAAATTTATAAGATCACTGTTGTTACTCTTACGTTCCCAAGAAATAAAGGGCCAAACAAGTGAACATGCATGCTCTTAATGCCATCCTGGATTTATATCAGTTAATCACTGTCATTGGCAATTGCACATCAATGTGAGAATATAAAAGCCTCTAGCAAAAAACAGAAAGTTTTCACAAAATACAGACATAAGCCAGTCTTCTGGAATTCATCTGGGAATGAGCAAATAAATATTGGGCAAAGTAGAAAGATTGTTGAGAAGCTTCTCATTTTCTTTCTTTTGCAGACCTCCCTCTAAGCACTAGGTTTACTTTACTGCTGCTTTTAGAACTCCTTGCATCTAAAATTCTGCCTTTCCAAAGTCCTCTTTAAACTATCTTACATGTTGTGTATTTCCCTGTAGATGTTTTGCTTCTTTTTTTGTGTATGTGTTTGAAGTGCCCATGGGCCTTTTTTTGGTGAAGGCAGGAGCAGGGCTCAGCACTCTTAAGCAGGACTTAAAGAAGAACTGTGGCTTTTCATGATAAGTTTTGTAGAACAGCAGGTACAACACTTAGAAAAGAAACTGAAGGGTCACTTATACAGTATAAAAATCAGAAGGTGAGGCACTGCTGATTCTGTTGAAAACACAACAGTTTCAGGCTCAGGTGGAGCCCTGCAGTGCTGGCAGACAGCACTATACTACTCTCAAGGCATTTCATCAGTAACAGCTTGCTCACCAGCAGTGTTCTGTTGTCGGTAGCTCTGGTTTTTTTTTGTTGTGCACAGTGAATTTCTTGGGCTCAAAAGTGAAAAAATCAATTAGTCAATATATATTGAAGTTCTGGCCTGTGAGCTGATTCTCTTGTTCTTCAAATAATGTATGTGAGCTGCCTTTTCTGTAGGTAATAATGAGCCCATAAAAGCTGTTGGATCTCTAAATAAAACAAAATGAGCTGGAGCATGTACTCTTAGAACAGTGATCATAATTTATTTTTTTCCTCAAGAAGAGTACATTCTTCCCCTGCCATTTGTTGAGCCTGGGCTGTCCATTTTTTTCACTTGTTTGATAATGATAAAAGAAACAAAACTGAGGACATTATGAGAGGTAAATAAGTTGGTATTGTTTAAAATGGGTCTGAGATTTTTAGGAGGTCACTTGAGAAGTTTAGCTTGGCATGACCTTTTTTTTTAAGGTGAATGTAGCTTTTCATACACGTAATCATTTCTACCATGTGTCAGTATCATGCAGCATGTTGATAATATTGTAGACATATGTGGAACAGAGCCATAACTAGGTAATACAACTTGCTGTCCAGACTTCCAGAGGAAAGCATGCTACGTTCACTAATTTCAAGGAGTACTGAGCAGGAATCTGCCTTTCACATTCAGCCTCTGTTTTGAAATAGGAGTAGGTAGTAGGTGAATTTTCAAACAATTCTCTCAAAACATTTGCACGCTCCCTTGGAAAGCAAGCCAGTATTTCTCACTTCTGTCCAGGACTGCTGTTCTTCATAGTGAATATTTGGTAAAGGAAAAATTTATTTTGTTTTCTAATAGTTACTTGGTTCCTACAACACATGAAGACGTTCCCTATGTAGAAAACAAACATTCATTTGTTGTACTACTGATATTTCTTTACCTAGGTACAAACAGTAACTTTAATCCCAGGAGATGGCATAGGACCTGAGATTTCTGCTGCTGTCATGAAGATCTTTGATGCTGCCAAAGTAAGTCATGTTTGTCTTGCTATAAGCATTGCAAATTGAACTGCAGCAACAAGTACTAATTAGGCATATTAAAAAAAAGCTTAAACTATCTTTTAAGAGATTAAGTAATATTTAAGCTATTAAAACTTCTTTCCAGTAGAAAGAATTTGAAGCTTCAGCTAATAAATGACAGGAATATGATACCAAGGCATGCCTTGAAACTGTTAGCTGACAGAAGAGTAGAGACTTGAGAGCAAATGCTGTGTTTGATTTTTGGAAATACGAACTCAATGTCATGTGAAATCACCTTGTTGATGTAGTAATCCTGAGCAACTGACAGAGGATGTTCTTTCATTTATTATGACTTCAAGTGCAGGTCAAAAGTGTGTGTGAAAGGACTGGCTCATTTTAGCAATCCAATTGCTGTGCTGCCAAACACATTTACTTCAGTGATATGAAAACTTACTGTATTGAAGATCTGTTCTCTTACCTATCTGAGAAACTTCACCAGACCTTGTCAAGTTTCCTTGGAAGGAAATACAGCTCTTCAGGCAAGATGCCTGTTAAATTGTTCCACATCAGTAACAACACCCAGGCAAATTCACTTTTTATTACAACTATCCAATGTGGATTTGAAAACGTGAAGTTGCTTTAATGTTGTATCTTCTCCTTTGTGGTCATTCCTGATAGAATGAACGGGTGGCAGCCTGTCTCCACCTAGAGTCCTGTGGCAAATGCAAATTCAGAAAGCACTGTGGAGCTTTTGTGCAGATTTTTCAGTGAGATAACAGATGCACATCTATGTCATACACAGTCTTCCAGTCAGTGGGGATGATGAGTCCTCAATGAATTCAACTTTAAGATGTTGTCCCTTGTATACAAGGAACTCAATAGCTTAAAGAAATGGCACTTGTGTATGTGACATATAGGGTGCCATTGTGGTACTTACATTTATGATGATTTGCTGCTCACACTATTTCATTTCCACTTACTTAATTACGTTTTTCAAAAACTACTTTAGTTCAAACCGTCACTCACCAAAGAAAGTACTGTTTAGAAAGGCCTGGACAAAATTCCTTACACACCTTCTTGTGACAGTTAAAACTTAAAGCAAAGTCATGACATTAAAGTTAACACAGAGTGTGTGTGTTTAGGCACCTATTCAGTGGGAAGAGAGGAATGTTACGGCTATCCAAGGACCAGGAGGGAAGTGGATGATACCCCCAGAAGCCAAAGAATCCATGGATAAAAACAAAATGGGATTAAAAGGTATTTTAGGGGTTCATACACAGATATTAAATACTGTTGTGTTTATCATGAGTTTGATGTAAAGTCAAAGTTCTTCCTCTGTAGCACAATAAAATAGGGGACAGCCTGTCAGGTAGGTGTCTGTAATCTTGGAACATTCCTTGCAGGAAAGGTTCGTGCAGTTTCCAAGCCGTAAGTTTGATAGTTATTGTAGTTGAAATTGGGTGCATTACAACCTTTGGACTCTGCAGAAGGCATTTCTAAGATATGCAACAGCATGCAATATATACATTACTAATGAGCAGTATCTCTATGTGTTTTAATGAATACATTTTGTAAAATCTGTTCCATGTAAGGCTCGCAATTTGGCCTTTATCCAGCTGATGAATGTGCCTGTGCAGTAGTTGACAGAACAGAAAATTCCTATGGCATTCCAGCATAAGGGCTAAACAGGGATTTGCAGATCCTCTGTAGGAGTCCCCCTTTACCTAGAGTTTCAGCTGTCAGATCCATGGAGGGGCTTATTTTCTCGTTCATCCTTGTGTACCTTTTTTTCCCCTCTAGGGCCTCTGAAGACCCCAATTGCTGCAGGGCACCCATCAATGAATCTGCTGCTGCGTAAAACCTTTGACCTTTACGCCAACGTGCGTCCGTGCGTGTCCATCGAGGGCTACAAAACGCCCTACACGGACGTGAACATCGTCACCATCCGCGAGAACACCGAGGGCGAGTACAGCGGCATCGAGCACGTGGTGGGTGCCTCAGCTGCTGCCTTCTGCTGCC